ACTTTGTTTTGGCAACAGGTGGTAGAGTATTGTAGTGCTAAGGCTTCGGGTGTTTGTGACTTTCCCTGCTCTTGGTCAATTTATAGAGTTTCACATGTTCAATTTCCCCTTCCTGGGCTCCCTTTCTTTCTACTGCAACTTCTTGCTGACTAATATCATTGTGTTTTCATCCATCCCTTGGCTTGAATTCTCACATCCCCTTTCTTAATTTCATGTATTTTATTCATGTCCCTGGAAATTCACGCTCATCTGTGGTCCTTTCTTTCCATAGTTCCTCAACTCTTCTTAGTAGAAGATTTTTCATCAACCCAGGACACACAGGACACACAATAACATATCTCTCCCTGGTCAACAGATAATCAGAGAAGACTAGAGCTGTAAATAGCAATTACAAATCCTAACTGCTCATTTTCTATATATGAGAGAACTTACGATGTGAAGAAAGCAAAATATCTACTACAGTAAGTTCTTAATCTTTTGTTCTATCAGTATGTTTTGACATGACTTCATAGGCAAAATCAGCTTATTCTGGAAGGAATTGCTTTCTTCTTTAGCCTTTATTTATTTATTTATTACCATCTTGTCACTTTCAGAGAATAGGAAAGTCTCTGAAGACACTCAAAAGATCCAGGGGGCTTCAGCAGTCATTCATAAAAGTCTGTTTTGAGCTCATGAACTTTGGAGGTGGTTGGTGGGGTGACACATAAACTATGATCAAGACCCCCTCATTCTCTATTAAACCTACTCCAACCAGGCTTTGGACACTATTACCCAGATTGAACAGTTATTAGAGTCTTTGTCCGATCTCCTGAAAAGTCACAAAGAGCCACATTAGACTTTACCAGGGTGAGGAAAAGCTTGTTTGCTCATTTTGTACATTTGGACCATTACCATAGCATGGCTGAGCCCGGACAAACTGAGATCTATTTTTGTACGTAGAATATACACAGCTTATAAACTCACATACGAGTCTAGAGGCCTGGGAGGAAGCTATGACTATTTTGTTGTTGTTGTTTAATTTGACAACTAAAACTATTTTTACTGGGTCTGGCTTTTGTTTTGCTTTTATGGAGTTTTTCTTCCAAAATTAGGCTCCATTCTCAAACAAGTTGAATTTGAGAAGGTGAACCAACAGTCCATCTTCATTGGTCACAGGAATGAGATCCTGTTTAACGGCCCCTGTTGCTTGCGTAGGAAAACTGTTGCTACACCACACTTCCATGAGCAGATGGTGGCTCCTTGTTCCCTTAGTCACTGGGGGTTTGGTCTCAAAGACGTGTGCCTTGCATAGAAGTAGCACTGAGGTTCAAGCCAGCTTTTCATTCTTGGTGTTCTCTTCTGATAGCAAGCACAACTCTGGGACGTCCGTACAACCCTTCAGGTAGGCAAGAAAGGGTGAAGAAGGGCAAAGCTAATTTGGAATCAGAACTATTGTAGCTCAGACCTTTTCAGCTTTGAAATGTCTGGTGTATGGAAAACAAAGAATTCATTCCATCTTGAATCAAACCAGAAAATCCTTTTACGTGGGGTCTAGACCTTATTTTATTTTTATGTTTTGGCTATTTCTTCACACGAACCAGCATTCCTGAGACCCATTGCAAAGTCATCAGCCACCGGGAGGGCCAGGAGAGTGATGTGAAAATTCACTCTCCATGACATTTAGCTCCTGTTGCTAATGACAATGGCAAAGATGAGGAGATGCTGGTCCATGACCCTTGTTGGCTAAGAGGATGATGTCCAGGACAGCCTACTCTATTAGATACAGGGCATTTTGGAGGCGAAGAATTGAAAGCAATTTGGACATGTTCTTCTCTGAAGAGCCAGGCGCTGCCCAGGATTTTATGCAGCATCTCAGTTAACAGGCCAATACATAAGTGAGGAAAATGCCAGGGATTGCTTGGCTCATCACAAAACACAGAGAAACTAAAAATTACAGAAGTGTTTTGGCCAGGGAGATGGAAGAATTGCCAAGTTCTGGAGACTTGCCCTAAATCTGCCCCCCCCCCCCCCAAATGCTGGACAGCCAGTAAGACCACAGCTGATCCTTCCCTGCCTGGGATCCTATCACCATGGTACTGAAATAAGGAGGAGCAACACTTGTAGCTAGGAAACACCAAGAGCTCTTTTATTCCCCTATAAGTTCAGAACAAGAGCAGTTATAAAAGCCATACAAGGAGATTAAAAAGATTACTTTTCACAGAAGCTTTGCACCTGTGAGCACTTTGGCCTCAAACAATTTGTTATGTTAGGTGAGCCAATAATCCAGTTGTTGGCAAAACATGTACAGAATGCGAATGTACAGGGTGAAAATGTAGATGACGAATTAGGTTTTTACTACTTGTATCTGGGTGTTTAGCTTGGGCAAAGACACAAGTGTATATTCTGAATACTGCAGAATGCGTCTAGTCCGGAATAATCTAATGGGAACACTTGTCCATCATGAAAAAGAAATGACAGAGCCAACAAACAACAACAACAACAAAATCAAATAACACAAACAAGCAAACAACAAAAACCAGCAAACATAAAACAAACACAAACTCTAGGCAAGATAAGAAAACCTGCTTGCCTTGACATAAGATATTCCATTTGTAGTTTGTTTAATTTCTTTTTTTTTTTTTTAAGATATGCCATAGCTTTGATCAGAAGCCTCAGCATGACCAAATACAGTTCTTACTTCACTTTCTGGGACACAGCACTGTAACTTCATAGAGCTGCATGGGCAATGTTCCACCTGATGGGAAAAGGAAGATGCTGGATCCTTTTTGTAATCACCCACAATGGCCATGTGGCTAGAGAAAAGCAATGGCCCTTTCTCCGAAAGGACCTCTCCACTCTTCTCTGAGTAGGAGCAGAAAATTCTACACAAACGTTTACTGTTCTGTTACATTCGACCATTGCTTTTCTAATAACACTTCTTTATTTCATCTTTTCCATACCTATTTCCATTTTTCCTTTTTAGACTGTTCTTATTGTGGCTCTGTAAAGTTGTGTGTCCCTATATATACCTGACGGTAGCATTTTTCTCTTGAGTATTTTTAAAGCCCTAGAGAAAATGAGTGATTTCCTACAATCCCATAGTCCTGGAATTAAGTAAACATAGAATACAGGCATCATGTCCACATAGTACCTCAAGCTTAAGATGAGAGGACTACAATAGACATTTCAATGTTCTGTCTTTCCAAATACCAACTGTCACCATTCAGCCTGATATGGAGTCCTCCAGGTCTCCCCTCCTGGGCCCACTTCACATAACATTCTCGGTTACTTCTTAACAATTGCAGAAGAAAACACAAACTCATCTTACGGCTTTCAAGACTCTCCTCAATATAACTTTGGCTTAGTTTTCAGCCATATTTTATGCCAGGTCCTGGTGTAGCTGGCAATGCCTCACTCATTCTGACATACAACCACCTAAACAAGTTGTTTGAGGATCTGCAAACCATAGGCAAAGAACCAAGTGCCAGAGTTCAAAGGCACCTACAGACATATTTTCACTGAGGCAAATTAACTATAGGCATTGTCATAGAGCAGCATCTGTGGGCTGCTGGGAAGCAAGAACAGAGACTACTGCCCTCATCTCAGATAGAATGCAACGGCCACAGACGGCACTGTAGAATAAATTCAAGATGGCGGGGTGTTGGGCAATGCTGCATAATGAATTATTGGCAGCTCACCCTGTGTCTGTCATTTTGTTCCTCTTTCACCATCTCCTTGTGGTCTTCCTTCTCATTAGCTTTCCGTCATTACTTCATGCATCAGCTTCCCCTCAGGTGGTCTCTCCAACCACCACATCGCCATTGCACAGAAACGACCACTGTGTTCCTTCTTACAACTCTGTGTTTGGAGGGTGAGAAAATTTTAATCTCCATCCTTTTGTTTTCTTGAGTCCCAATACAAAGCCAGGAATATAATAGATACATATTTCTGAGTGAAAAGGAGTAGAGATAGTAAAATACTATCTTTTGCCCTTGCAATCCCTCTGCAAATACACTGGCCGGTGCTGGAAGATAGGCAATCTTCTATATTAAGGAATGAAAATAATTCAAAGCCTTGTGGTGTACACGTAAGTGACTCAGGGGATCTTTATCTCTTTTAGATAACACAGAGAGGGACCAGCAGTAGGCAGAACCAAAACCTGACTTGTTTCATAAAAACCAACACACATCATTCTACCTTCTGGGGAGAATAATTAATTACATTGGAGTGGAGAGAGAATAGAAAGAAATGCAAATATTTGATCCCTTTTGAGTAAATGGATGGAGTTCTACTTAACCTGCAAAAGCATGCTTTAGGAAAACTATAGAGACATGATTCATCAGGAAAGGGATGGAGAACTGTTGTCAGGAGAGGAGTTGATCCCCTCCCCCCTTACATGGAGTCTTACTTCAGTAATAAGTCTTCTTTTTAAATGCAAGATGAGAATAAATTCTAATCACCAAAGAAGGAAAAATGAAAGAAAGGGGAAAAATTAGAAAAACATGAGAAAGAGTAGGAAACAAAGACCTAGAGATCTTAGCTGATATGGGGTTCTGTGAAGAGTGGGGTGCCTGTAATCAGAGGCCTCTCAATAGAAGAATACTCCAGGGAGGAGAGGGAAAAACGATCCTTGTAGTTTTCTGCTAAGAAAATAGAGGATAAATCACAAAGGGAAAATCTCTGCAAAGATGCGGAGTACTTACACACACTCTTGGATGTGTTAATATTTCACTTATTATTAATGGTAATGTTCTCTTGGAAAGCTCTTGTAGCAAGAAGGAAGAATAGAGGCTAATTGTGATATTATCATGAAAGAAAAGATCTTGACAAAACAGGAATGTCAATGGAAAGCGCAGACGAGGTGCTTGGCATCTTTTTCGATTTCATGGCTAAAAGTTGCCATGATTCTGTAGATATTATCTACAAACATCACCCCCCCCCCCCCGCAAAGAGACACACCCTCTAGCCTCCAACCAAAAGCTGCCAGTCTAGGAACACATCCCACTGGACAGGCCATGTACCTTCCACCGTTGCTCGCTTGGGCTGGATGGTGATGGCGCCCTCGGCGATGTCCTCATGCTGGTGCAGCGGGTTTATTTTGGATCCCCAGCTGTCTGATCCCACCCAAAGGAAGTGGCCCACTTGATCGGCTCTTTTGGCTGCTGCGAGGATCTGCCTGGGAAAAGGAGCACAATAAGGTAAGTAAGGTGGAAGGTAGGTGTGAGCAGGAGCATTCTCAGAGTTCTAAGTCGAAGTCAAGAAAGCATGCAACTAATAATCAAGATGTCAAAGCGTAGCTGAACCATGGTGGCTCATGATTATAACCCTAGTTACTCAGAGGACTGAGATCTGAGGATCGCTGTTCAAAGCCAACCTGGGCCAGAAAGTACATGACACTCTTACCCCCAGTGGACCACCCAAAAGCCAGATGTAAAACTGTGGCTCATGTGTTAGACTTTCAGCCTTGAGCAGAAAAAGCTAGAGGACAGCTCTTAAACCCTGAGTTAAAGCCCTAGTACTTGCACAAAAATAATGCCAAAGGATCTTGAGCACAATAGGCATAGGACATTAAATGAAGAAAGACAAATGGCGTAAAACTGAGATGGATATTCACATGCTTTAGAAAGGATACAAATAGAAATTCGAGAAGATACCAAATTTGCTTTTATATTAGGCATTTTTTGGTTTTGTTATATGAATTTTGGCTTGGAGCTGAAGAAACAAGTACTATCACTCAGAGCCACTGTTAAATATCATTTCTAGAAAGCAATATATCAAGATAAACCACAGTATTTAAGTTAGTTATTAAAAATGAACAGAATTCCCTGATAAAAATGAAAAAAATTTCAACCTATTTATGGAGGAAAAACACATTTTGTGAGCAGCAAGGACGATGAAAGTTAATGAAATAAACAAAGGGAAATTAGTTATTAATGGAAAAGTTATTGAAATGATATTTTGGAAGGCCAGGAGACAGATAAAAGCTAATGACATTTTCAGAACACATGAAATTTAGATCTAAAACTCCTTTGGTGGGTAACACTACCAGACTTGCTCATAGCAGGCAGAGGTGCAAAGTGAACTATGGGAGAAGTGCTTATATATGAAAAGGCAAAATCTGACCATACTTCCTCCTCTAGGCAGGAAATGGAATGGAAATTTCTGAAGACAATTGTAGGAACACACAGTAATATTGTGGACACCCGAGGGACAAAAGGTAGATGAGAGACAGTGTGCTAAACATGGGGAGGAGGGAAGGAATGGGTAGAGGCCAGTATATTAAATATTGAAATGGGAAGTCATTCTTGGAAATATTAAACTGCAGATTATAGAATGCTAGAACCATGGGTATGCTGCTTAAGGAAGAGAGTGATTTTTCTGGAAAAGTTCCTGCCAAAAAGATCATAGATATTGACATAGAAAGACCAGCTTGATGCTTGGCCTGTTCATCCAGAGCCCCATTAGTTGATAAGGCTTCTGCAGAGAGGTCTTATGGGCCTTGTACAAATGTGAATTGCCAGAACCATCCATAATTATAAAAAAATATCCATGTGAATTATAAAATTTAACCTAGAAACATAACCAATATAAAAAGGGGGAGAAGATAAAGCATATTAAAAAAAATATGGTCATTTGGAAGTAATAAGGATGTTCTAAAAGCTTTTTGAGCAAAAATAATAGTGCAGAGAAATGAGAACTTGAAAATTAATCTCTCAGAAGCAAAAAGGGGAAAAAATGGATGAAGGATAATACATGCAATAACTCCAGAATTCTGAAGGAAAACGATTTCTTAGCTTAAAATTTCTAATGTTTCAACCCATAAAGAGCCCCAAGGAGAATTTCTATGTCCCCAGTGAGTCTTGTAGATTTTTTTCCTATACCCAGTTAGAGTTTCACACATGTTTTAAGGGTCCTTTAAGCCTGCTGGGGGCTGGGAGCTTATGCCAACACTTCAGGCTTCTCAGGAGACTGAGATATAAGGATCATAGTTTGAAATCAATCTGGACAGACATTTTAGAGACTCCATAAAAGCCCAACCTGATGCATGGCTCAAGTTGTAGAGCGCTATCTGTGAGTTATAAAGTTGAGTGGAAAGTCAAAGTCTCAATACTGGCACACACACACACACACACACACACACACACACACACACACTTCTCTAATTAGTCACTACTAGTATTTGTTGTATATCATTGTTATGCCAGGTAAGATTTATTTAAAAGTAAATGTCAAATCAGTCCTTAATACTTGTTAATTAAGAATGGAGTTAGAAAAAAAACACTTTTATGCATTAAGTACACAAAGAAATTTTCTTTCAATTTACTTTTTGTTGTTGTTGTTGGTCATGGGGCTTGAACTCTGGGCCTGGGCACTGTCCCTCAGCTCTTCAGCTCAAGGCTAGCACTCTACCACTTCAGCCATAGTGCCACTTCTGGTGGTTTATTGGAGATAAGAGTTTCATGGCTTTTCCAAAGCCTGGGTTGGCTTTGAACTGTGTGTGATCCTCAGATCTCAGCCTCCTGAGTGGCTAGGATTGCAGGCATGAGCCACTGGCACCCAGCTCAATTTATTCTTTCTAAAAGTTGCTAAATAATGTCTTCAGGAATATGAAAAAATAAACCAAGAATGAAAGAGACATGAACAGAGACAGAAAAATCAAGTGAAAGAATAAAAGAATATTAAAGAAAAAAGTCTATTAACTGGTTCAAATTTTTTAAATGAGAATTTCCAAAGAGATATTTCCAGGAAAAAGTAGGAAACATAATTACATATATATATATATATATATATATATATATATATAATATTTAAGCACAAAATGGATATAAATGGCACAAAATATGTTTGTATCTTAACATGTTTTCATAAAGTTCTGGATTAGTCACCAGCTAAATAAAACTAAACCATTTACAAAATGTAAGGTATAAAATATTATTAACCTCTACCATGAATTGCAAAAGGCTACATGTAGCATTCTATATGATCTTTATTTTATTGGGCTAAACTTATACATGTACAAAACTTATATGGAGATTGTACCAGTATTTTCTTAGTGGTTATTTCAGAGTGTTTAGTATACTGGATCTATACTAGACTGTTTAAAATTATTGTTCGTGGTTATTCTAATTCATAATTTTTTCTAGATAACCAAAGATAATGTTAAATGTAAGGTTATGTTAAAAAAAAGGTTTCCAATACAGTTGGTGTGTGTGTGTGTGTGTGTGTGTGTGTGTGTGTGTGTGTGTGTGTGTGCTACTTTTATACTCAGAATGGTGTTAGTAAATATTTTCTTCTTTTGCAAAATCCAAATGATCAATACTCATGGCTGATTAAGCCTGTAACATCAAAGTCTAGGTATTAATATCTTCTCCCTGCTAGTGTCTCACAAAGTATGTGAAGTTAATGTTCTGGGAAATTTCAAAGTTCTCAATCTACTGTATGAATCTTACGAAAGAAGAGACACAGTTAACACTGCAGGCTGTCGGGACTCCTCAGACATTCACTCTCTGAACATCTCATTTTGGAAGACACAGATACGCTTGACTCATCACGGAGCTCGGAAATCACTACTGCTACCACTGCCATGAGTCACGGCACACCGTACCCTGACACTCACAAGGTACCCCAACCTAAGAACAGTGTGATCACTTTAATTTTCATCCTGAATTAGGATGGCACAGCACCAGCAGGTAAAAATGACTACAATCACAAGAGCTATCTGAAGTATATCTTTCATGCGCTGCCAGAGTTTTAAAGATAAATGCGAGAGCACATCTTTCCAGTATATTCCATATTTAGCAAAGGCGTAAAATAGACATGAGAAGGATTTATGAAAGGATTAAGAAAGAAGCCTACTGCTGATCTGGGGTGCGGCGGGAAAACAGCCTAGAGGACAAAAGCCAATAAAATCTCACAAACTGTTAAAACATAGAGTGAGAGAAAATATTCTAAAACCCCCAGAATCAGCATTTCATAAGAACCAAATTTATACTAAGAGTGGTCACTTCCCTAGAGAAAAGCACACACAAAAGAGACATCAAAACGCAGCCATGATACTCACTACACATGTTGAAAATGAACGATCCAGCGGGGGGGGGGGGTGGGGGGGGGGCAGGCAGGTTGGGAAGGAAAAACTGGGTGAAAACGAGGGAAGAGGTGACACTGTTCAGAAAGAAATCCACCCATTACCTGACGTATGTAACTGCAACCTCTCTGTACATCACCTTTACAATAATAATTAAAACTAATTAATTAATTAAAAGAGACACTGAAGGTAAATTTCAATAGAGAGACAAAAGATATGATGAGGAAAATTCACAAGAGATTTAATTTGAGCCTACTAAAAGATCCACCACACAATTTAGGTAGACACCTGGGTATGTGTAAAATGTTAAAAAATAAGGTAAGGGCATGGTGGGGTACACGTGTAATCCCAGCTCCATGGCAAGCAGAGATGAAATGACCATGGTTACAGGCAAACTCAAGCAAAAAATCCTCACAATACTCCATGAACAAAAACAAACCAAACAGGATGGCACACACTTATAATCTCAGCTATACAGTAGGTAGATGTAGGAGGATCACATTCCAAGGTTGGCCTCAGGCCATAGTGAGACTTTATCTGACAAATAAAGCAAACATAAACTGGAGTTGTTGCTTAAGTGGTACCATGCTTGCCAAGCAAAAACAAGGCCCCAAATACCATAGATAGATAGGTAGGTAGTAGAAAGAATAGTGAAGCAGAGCCAAATTTTAAATCACTGATGAAACTCAGAAAAGCTTACATTTAAGTTGTTAAGAACTAGACCTTGGACCAAGTCACTCATCTGATGTCATTTATTAAAGGTGTATTACAAGCTGACCACCAGGATAGCTACTAAAGCTTTACAGAGTAACGCAGAAGGCTGATAGAGATGATAAAGTCAACAATAATATAAATTTACACTATGGACATAAACTAAGGAGTTGCTTTGGTACGAGGAATTTCCTAGAGCAACATTCTTCAGAGAATGCTTCGTTGGCAAACTAGTCAGTAGAAGTGGCGTTGGAATGAAGATGTCAGGAAGGAGAAGCATTCTAGGTAGACAGAAGAGAAGACACCAAGACCTGCCAGGCTGGAGACTGAAGCAGACCTCCCTGGGGCCTTCTGAGATTCAGAAGGTAGAACAAGACCAGACATTCCTGTGGAGAATGGGAGAGGATTTTCATCTCATTGATAGGGGAATTGAGTTACAAAGAGTCGGCAGTCTCCAGAAGGAACTTGAGCAAGGAGAGACATTGCTTGACTAAGTGTCAGAACACAGTGACAATTACACATGTTGTATTACTGTCTCCTGTGTGCCTGCGATCAGAGCTTCAGACTGGGGTGATGGATGGATTCAGGTGTGTTCTGTGCAATGCACAGATTAGAGAGAGACAAAAGAGTAGAAGGCTGGTGAGAACCACAGAAGGAAAATCTGAGTAAGAACAAACAATAGCCCAGGTCTTTTGATTTTACTCAATAAAGGATGCTCAGCCGAACACCAGTGGCTCCCGCCTGTAATCCTCACTACTCAGAAAGCTGAGATCTGAGGATCATGGTTCAAAGCCAACCTGGGCAGGAAACTCTGTAATACTTTTAACTCCAATAATCTACTCAAAAAAGCTGGAAGTGGTTCTATGGTTCAAGTGGTAGAATGCTTGCCTTGAGCAAAAGAAGCTCAGGGCCAGTGCCCAGGGCCAGAGTTCAAGTCCCAGGTTCAGTAAATACAAAAGACTCTCATCTTCAAATTCAGTGACCCATGGCTTTGAATTTCAAGATGGACAAAAACTGAAACCACAACTCTTCCATATTGGTCAAGGACAAACTGCATACGTGGTATGTATGTCTCTGGGAGACACATTCATAATTTTCAAGAATGTGCACATCTTTGTCCTAGTACTTTCTTGTAATTGGTCTTCTAAGATCTTTTAAGACAAACATATTCAGTACTATATTTGTATACTATATATGTGCATCGCGTTAATATATATTTATGTCTTATGCAACACAATTAAATGACACAACTATGTGTGTCCATGTTTACATTTGTGCATGCATATTTATGGCAATGGAACTTTACTACAGCAGTATGCCTAACTATAAAAGCTTATCATCAAATTTTATTGCCATTTGACAAGGGAGCTGTTGGATAAATTACAGTCCATATTTAAAATGGAGATCTGCATGGCCATTCAAAAGGCTGAAGTAGCCCATCAGTGCAGACATTCAGGGCCTCTGTGGTAAAAGTACCGAGTAGTGCCAAGTCAGGTGGAGTGGACACATGAAAGAATGTTCATCATATGTGAAGATAGGAAAGAAGAAGCAAACACAGAATGTCCCCAGGGGGGAAAATATACCCAAGAAAGTGATAATGGGGCCATGCTACCTGAAGGGGAAAAGTTATCAGCAAGTGGACAGGATGGAAGACATGCACTTTAACAGGACACTTACAAAGTGTACTTGTTAACTTTTTAATCATATGTCACTAACTCTAATTCAACAGAGATAAAGATTCTGAGCTGGACACTGGTGGCTCATGCCTGTCAACCTAACTAAGCACAAGGTAGAGATTGGCTTGATCCCAGCCAGGGAAAACGTTTAGGAGAGGCAGACTCAGGTAATAGGTGGGCTAGGTGCGTGATTTGTCAACCAGGCTACTGGGAGGCTGTGATCCGGAAGATCGAAGTCCCAGGGTAGCTCAGGCTAAAAGTCCACAAGATCCCATCTCAACAGAATGAATGTGGTAATGGTAATGCACGTTCTTCATCCATCCCAGCAATAACAGGAAGCAGAAATAGGAGGATCACAGTCCAGGACTTTTGGGGGCTAAAAGTGAGACTGTCTCAAAAATATGAAGACTGAAGGTATGGATCAAGCGGCAGAGTGCCTGCCTAGCAAAGGTAAAATCCTGAGCCCACTTGCTTCTACTGCTTGAAAGAAGGAAAGAAGAAAAAGGAAGAGAAAGAGGGAGGAAGGAAGGAAGGAAGGAAGGTGGTAGGCCAGACCGGTAGTGAGAATCGGAGGAGTGTGCTTGTCGGCTAGTACAGTGTGGTTTGGCTGCCTGCGAAAGCACTAGGGAGAAAGGAAGTCAAGATTGTGAGTGGATCTTTGTGTCTGAGGGAGATCACTGTGAGGAAAAGGACAAGACAAGTAGACTGGAGGACACAGAGGCGTGACTCTTTTGTCTCTAGCACAAAAAGTTTAAGACATTAGCAAGGATTGTGAGACTTTTTTTCTTTTACATTTTTTAGGAGGCATTCTTTAGATCAAATCACACTATCACTGGGTATGGTTTTTAATAAAACTGAGATTTAAAAGAGCTAGTGTTTGCTTGTAGATGGCAATGGAATTTGAACTCAGGCCCCTCTGGCTTGTTGGTACTCTACCGTCGGAGTCACACCTCCAGCCTGTCTTTTTGCTGGCTATTTTGGAGATGGACTCTCATGGGGTTTTCTTCCCCTGGCTGGCTTTGGACCTTCCTCATCTGGATGCCAGCCTCTTGAATAGCTAGGATGACAGGTCTGAGCCACCTGCGCCCGTCACAATCTTTGTTTCATTTTGCCGGTATTTGAACACATGTTTTTCTGATCCAAGAGAGTACAGGACCAGCAATACACTGCCACTTCTGTGTTGATCATAACTCCCCGTGTGGCAATAGAGAGCTTTGCTCTGATGTTATCTTTTCCCCTTCACCGCCAGGGTCTTGATCCCATGCACACCCTAAGGAACTGTTGCAGTCATCCTTACTTTATATCCTCATCGTTGGCAAAAATGACGACGGCCCTGGAGTTGGGGGTGTCCAGGAGCTGTTTGATAATTCTATCAAAGTCAATGGTCCTGTCTTTGCGCTCTTGGGGGATTTTCACCGACTGGGCAATGCAGAGCCCACCTGTTCAAGAAAAGAAAAGCAGAATGTCAATGGAGTTCCCACATCAGTCATCAAAGAAACCGGGGCAAGTAGTTGGGAGATGCAGGAGGTTCAAATTCTGCGTAGTCTGTAGTGAGCCACCAGGGTCGAGGCTAGAACAGACACTTTTATAAATCATTTATTTTGTAAACCAAACCTTTATTAACTAACTACACTCTATGGGCCCAGGCTGTTACATGGTTTACCTGTGTTATTTTATTTAATCCTCTGGAAAACAATGGCAAGTATGTACGGTTGCCATGCTGGGTCAGGGAAAGGGAGCAGCCAACGGACCTTTGGGCTTTATACTTCTCAGAGTCATCCTGGTATTTCTGACATGAATCTCAAGTTGGGAAAATATGTAGCCCTCCACAAATCAATAGGTGGGCTTCATCTTATTCTAGATTTTCCTGAGTAGTGTGGCCCCTGGATCTGGTAATTGGCATCACCCACGTTAAGAACTACCGATGTAGCCAGGCACAGACAGCTTATGTCTGTAATTCTAGCTACTCAAAGAATCTGAGATCTGAGGATTGTGGATTGAAGCCAGCCCAGGCAGAAAAGTCCATGAGACGCTTATCTTCAATTAACCAGAGAAAACCTAAATGTAGAATTATGGATAAAGTGGTAGAACACCACCTTGAATAGACATGTGCAGAGAGAGTGTGATGCTCTTAAATGGAAACACCAGAACCAGTACACAAAAAAGAAAAAGGAGGGAAGGAAGGGGAGGGTAGAGAGGGAAGGAAGGGAAGGCCAAAAGAAAGGAAAGAAGGAAGGAAGGAAAGAAGGAAGGAAGGCAGGTAGGCAGGCTGATGTAGAAAAAGAGTAGACAATGAATTTGTGGGAAAAATTATATTGATCATTCAAAGGAAAGATGGATTAGAGGTAGAAACAAGAGGAATGCTTTTCTGTCTCTGTAAGGAACTTGGGCATATCTGTAGTGAATGATTGTATGTCTAGTGTACAGCCAACTGGGTGGGTGTTGCTAGGCTTCCACAACAGAAAACTATAAACTCTAACCTCTCCCCGAATTAAACCTCCATGAACACTTTTATCTCTATGAGGTTTTGCCTACACAGTTGGCTTTCAACTACTAATGTGCACAAAGTCTTCTCTGAGGCTCCCAAAACATGTACGTCTAACACGTACATCACTCCACTGACCCAACTGACATTGCTAGAACCATCCATACAATGACAAATGATTCCACGTTTTGTAGTGAAGAAAAGTGCTCACCTATCTTAGTTTCTATCAGCTAGCATTCTCCTCAGAGAGGAGGTAGATTCTGTGACACACATGGCACTAAGCATGGCTAGACCTGGTTGTTGGCTTTGCTCTACCACCTTTCAACAATGAGAACAATGTCTCTCCTGAAACATGGTTTGTTCTAAGACTAGAGCAAGGCTCAGACAAGATTCAGCCTGGATCATCATTCAGTGTCAAGAAGCAAGAAGTAAGTGTCTGGAGAAAAAAAAGAAACAAAACCCCTACAGATACAAGAAGTGATTCACTATGGACAGTAAAATGATACCAGTGAATTATTATCCAAAGAATCTATCCGGCAATCTATGAACCTCTACCACTGCAAATAAATGCCAGGATGCACACGTGAACACGTGAGAAAAGAGATTAGAAATTTGCTTGCAGGATGTTTCCAAATTGGAAGTCTGGAGGAGATAAGGGAAACCATATTCTATCACTAAAACATTGTGATAATGATTCAAACCTTAGCATTTACATTACCTTCAAGTATCTCCCCACAAAACGCACATCCATCACTCTATGGTTTGAACATATGCCTTTCTTTCCTTTGAGGGAATATCTTTCCTTCCTAGCATAGCTGTTAGGGGTTGAATGGATACAAGTATCATGGGTTAGAACCAAACACCCAATGTGAGTGTTTTAACATGTTCCCAGGTGATCCAGGTGCTGCTGGCCCCCTCCTGTTATCCTAGCTACTCAGGAGGTTAAGATGATTGCTGTTTGAAGCCAGCCCAGGCAGGCAAGTCTATAAGGACACTTATCTGCTAAAAGCCACAAGTGGAGGCATGGCTCAAGTGGTAGAAGAGGAAGCTTTGAGTGAAAAAGCAAAGCATGGACACCCCCCCCCACCCCACACACATATACACACATTCCCAAGGGATGTTGTACACATTGTTTCTCTGAGGACCAGTCTTTGCAAACCATGCCACAGGAGAATGAAGATGCAGCCAGTAGCCAAGGGGAGTCGATTCTGATCAATGTTCCTAGGCACCATCATATCTGCTGTAGGAAGGGGCAGGTTTTATGCACTGAGAGTCTGGCCAACTTCTGGAGGAGCCATAAAGGTGAGAAAGGGAGGAGGGAGGGGATGGATCATTAGGCTTTGTTATAAACTATGCGGTGATCATGGCGATAGAGACAGAACCGGTGGGGGGGGGGGGCAATGGTGTCTCCAGGCAATGGCTACTACTAGCTCCACACTGTAATTCCTCCGAGTCTGGAAGTCTTTAGACAGGAGGGAAGGATGAATGAAACCATCTGCAAACTGTCCTGGGGCTGCTGGAGAGAAAAACAAAACACAGCAAAGCAACTTTACCACCTTCTCAGTAGGAAAATCAGAATCACTTTGGATGGAAGGCCAGCTTCCCATCAGGATTCAATTACAGCTGAGCGATTAAGCAAATGAGAGCAAACTCCATTTGGCAATGTGAATAGTGGAGAGGCGGACACACTCTCCGTCTGAGGGCTTACCGGCCCACACTGGTGGAACTGATGCATGGAGTTTTATGCCTCCAGGAGATGGCCAGACCTTTTCATGGAATGGCCCACAGGTGAGCAAAACCAATCAATGAGCAGAAGAGAGAAATGGGTGATTAATATATAATGGGAAGGAACATGTTCATAAAGGTAAAAGATGGGAAAAGAAAGCTTGGAAAAACAGAGGAAGAGAAGTGAATGAGTGTGAATGTGTAAATGAGTGTGAGTGTGTGTGTATGTGTGTGTGTGTGTGTGTACTGGTACTGGGACCTGGACTCAAAGTCTAGTTGTTGTCCTTCAGCTTTCTGACTCAAAGCTGTTGTTCTACCACTTGATCCACATCTCCATTTCTGCCCTTTGCTTTTTAATTGGAGGTTAGTCTCTCATGGACTTTTCTGCTCAGGCTAGCTTTAAACTGTGATCCTCAGAGCTTGGCCTCCTGAGTAGCTAGGATTTCAGACATGAGCCAATGGTACGGGCTAGACAGTCCTTAACTTTTAAAGTGTATTTTCTTTATGTCTATAATATACTTGGAGTTTGTACCACTTGGTACCAATTAACTCACATACCTGTGGAGCACATGCTTGGGGAAGAGAGGGTTTCATCAGAGATGGCACAAGCAAAGAAACATATCACAGCCAAGACTATTCCTTTCAGGCACCTTGGCCCTGACGGAGAAAGTCTCTTTTCAGTGGCTTGAGGAGATACAAGCTGATATGGTAAGGCAAAGAATCTGAGTCCCAGAAATCAATCTGCCTCTTGATTTGGAGCTGAATACTGGTCAGTTTTCTGTCTGGCAGTGGAAGGGGACAATGCATAAACAGCACGACGGAATCTCAGGAGTCAGATGGTTCACAATGAGAACACTTCTCGCTCTCAGGTGAGTATGGGTCCCTGATCATCTTGAAAGCAGAGGCAAAAACGAAGTGATTCACAGTGTGCCGCTCCCTCCTGAAAAAAGCTGCTGCCCCAACACTGAGCTGCCTCTTATTTAGGTCTGCTCATCAACCTCGCAAATACTGTGATTACTATGTACAAGATTCTGCAAGCTTGTTTGAAGTAATAATATATGTCATCCAAAGAACCTTTAGAATAACAAGGAAACATGGATCCAAATTGCTCAAGAGTGGTATTAACCAAAGCTGGAGAATTGGTGTCACTGAGTTCAGGCCACATGTCAAAAGCCATTTCCAGTGCTTTGATTCCCTAATGCATTCAAATGTTCATCCCATTCCACAAGGCAGGATGAAATAGGCACTCACCCCAAATTTAGGATTCATACTCAGGTTTTGATTTCCAACACTTCACCAAAATAGTGCTCTTGTCCACAGATACTCCCAAAATTAATAGGAGAGGAGGCTCAATAGCACGTGAGGGGTCATGACAGATATCACACCTTCGCAGAGGAATAACTCAAGGCTTGTATGGAAGGAATTCAACCTCAGGTGGCATGTTTCCCATCTGTGAAAGAAGAATCCTACGGATGGGAAAGGTCCGTTTGGAAAGGAAAGGTCATTGTGAATGAAATTGCCCAACCATTAGCTTGTTGTTGCCAGTTAGTTTCCTGGCTAGGCGTAGGGTGCTGAGGTGTGGACTAACAGATTGTCACTGATCATACCAGGGGCCAGGTGTGTGCATCTCAGACTCTGTTATGTGTAGGAATAGTTGTGAGGTACATGAGTAGGTCAGAAACTTGCAGTAAATGGTTCTGGAAGTTTTAGCTTCTGCTGTCTTAGAAAGAAAGAGAAAGGGAGAAAGGGAAAAGTAGGCATGGTTTTTCCTCCATTTGATACCTGGAGCCATTAGCCTCCTCTAGGTATGACTAGGTCACACGTAAAAGGATGGAAACTGACTCCCCAAAACCAAAGAGTCACCAAGATGGAGAAAATGAGTCTTGGCATCAGGCTTTACCTAAGCAGAGACAGCAGTGTCAGCAGTTAGATACTTCCTGATAGGGGAGCAAAGAACACCTTTCCATGTAAACTACCTATAGACAGTTTTCTTTTAGACAAACTTAATACCGAATCATCTTTGCGGGCAGAGAATTCCTACAGCAGCACAGAAAGGAGAGAAAGTTCCTGAATGTGGAAGCTAAGTCAAAAAGATTACAGAGCAAGAGATCCAAGGAACTATGATCCACAATGCAAATGAAGAGGGAAAACATGAAGCTGGTACCTGCATAGATCTGTGGGTAGACGGAAGACACCAAGGCAGAAGGGTGGAAGTAGTCACACAGACAC